TGGCTTTGACAATGGGGGTGTCCCAGTGAAGAAAGAAAGTCAATGCCACCAAAATGAGGATTGCTGAAAAGAAAAGAATCAAAGAAGTCAGAATGATTCCTAATGGTTCAGTAAAAGATAAATAGCTGAAATGTTTGGGAAGGCACTGATCTCTTTCTGCATTTGAATATTGATCTTCTGGGCATCTCTCACATTGATCTGCATCTGAAAGACATGAAAAAAGTCTTGTCATTTCCAAATAAAAAGAGAATATAGAGCTAACATACAGAGTCTAGTCTAAAGTAGAGAAATTATGCTCATGTAAAGAGCCAACACTGAGAAAGCATACTTGGTAGGTCAATTCACATAACCAATTCCACTTACAAGTGGAATTACAGCCACAGTTGAAACCAAAATTTTGATCACTAAACAAGGGAGTAGTTAAGACTTTCATGCCCAATATTATGACCTTTTTCTCTCATGGTTTTAAAGTGAAACACTGCAGTTGTTAAATTAATCACCAGGTTTTTAAGAGAATCTGGTTTGCCACATTGATTTGTGAGAAGCTGGCTGGGATTATGATAAATGGCTGGAATAAATGGCAATCATATGATTCTGGAAGATGCAGCCATTGTGACTTCACACTGATCTCCAAGGCCCCAAATTTTGAACATGTGACCACAAGGATGCTCTGAGTCTAAAAAGTTACTTTTTCAATATTTTGATTTAACGTTTATTGACTGCTAATGGAATGGTCCTTTAATGGTCTCAAAGAAAAAAGAAATGAAAGGAAGCAAAATGGATGTCTGAGGAAGCTTTGCAAATAGCTGAGAAAAGAAGGGAAGGAAAAGGCAGGGGAGAAAGAGAAAAATACACCCAATTGAATGCAGAATTCCAGAGAATCACTAGAAGAGATAAGAATGCCTTCTTAAATGAACAGTGCAAAGAAATGGAAGAAAACAATAGAATAGGGAGGACCAGAGATCACTTCAAGAACGTCTCATGTGAAGATGGGCATGATAAAGAACCAAAGCGGCAGGGACCTAACAGGCAGAAGAGATTAAGAAGAGGTGGCAAAATTACATAGAACTATACAAGAATGAGCTGAATGTCTCTGATGACCATGATGAGGTGGTCACTGACCTTGAGCCAGACATCCTAGAATGTGAAGTCCAATGGAAATCTGAGCAACAGCAAAGCTAGTGGAGGTGACAGTTTTCCAGCTGAGCTATTCAAAATCTTAAAAGACGATGCAGTAAAAGTGCTACGCTCAATTTGCCAGCAAATTTGGAAACCTCAACAGTGGCCATAGGATTAGAAAAAGTCAGTTTACATTCCAATTACAAAGAAGGCAATGCCAAAGAATGTTCAAACTACCGCACCATTTCAGTAATTTCACATGCTAGTAAAGTTATGCTCAAAATCCTACAAGCTAGGCTCCAGTAGTTTGTGGATCGAGAATTACCAGATGTACAGGCTGGATTTTGAAGAGGCAGAGGAACTAGAGTTCAAATTGCCAATATACACGGATCATGGAGAAAGCTAGAAGATGTTTCCAGAAAAACATCTATTCCTGCTTCATAGATTTTACTAAAGCCCTTGATTGTGTGGATCACAACAAATTGTGGCAAGTTCTTAAAGAGATGGAGTACCAGACCATCTTATTTGTCTCTTGAGAAATCTATATGCGGGTCAAGAAGCAACAGTGAGAACTGGACCTAGAACCATTGATTGGTTCAAAATTGGGAAAAGGTCGCAGCAAGGCTGTATACTGTCACCCTGCCTATTTAACTTATATGCAGAGCACATCATGAGAAAGGTGGGGCTAGATGAATCAAAAGTTGGAATTAAGATTGCCGGAAGAAATATCAACAACCTCAGATATGCAGATGATACCATTCTAAAGGAAAGGTGTGGAAAAGTGGAAAGGTGATGCAGATGAAGAATGAGAGCACAAAAATTTGCTTGAAACTCAATATTAAGAAAACTAAGATTATGGCATCCAGCCCTCTCAATTCCTGGCAAATAGATGGGGAAGAAATGGAGGTAGTGACACATTTTTTTCCCTTGGCTCTAAGATTATCGCAGATGGGGACTGCAGAAGTGGTGGGTTTCAATTTTTTTTACTACTGGTTCTGGGGCATTTCTTATTTTGTGGGTGTAGCTTGTTAGTCATGTGACTGGGCAGGAATGGCTTGGCAGTCATGTGATTGGGTGGGAGTGGCTTGGTGGTCATGTGACTAGGTAGGAGTGGCCAATTTAGCCGTCCATTGTGCCAATTTAGCAGTTCATTAAACAATACACAGCAGCCCCCTTTTTTGTTCTTTTTAATACCGCATGAAATTTTTGCTTTAGGGGTTTTTTTTTACTAGGGAGGAGAGGTTGGCAATGCCTGGGGATTTCTGCGAATTTCTCCTCTGTGTTAGAGGCACTAAAATAACCAGGATGATATAAGATCTCCTGCTGGAGCAGGTAGTTGGCCTAGATGACCTCTGAGGTCCCTTCCAGCCCTGGACTGCTGTTCTGTTTCAAAGTATCCTCTGAAGCTGTATCTAGTGCCAGGTTTGTGGTCCTTCCTTCCTTCCTTCCTNTACCGGTTCTGTGTGCATGGCTTTGTGGGTGGATGTGTAATGTGACTCAGTGGGTGTGGCCATGTAGTCATGTTACCCGGGGTGTGTGTGTGGTTCAAAAGACAGAAACTCACTTTAACAATGTCCTACTGGAACAGGGGGTTGGACTAGATAACCTCCAGGTCCCTTCCAGCCCTGGTTTGCTGTGCTCTTTCAAGGAATCAGCTGAATCTGCGTTTAGTGCGAAGGTTTGTGGTCCTTCCTCCCTCTCTTTTATCCCTCCCTCCCTCCCTCCCTCTTTCATAGCAAACCCTCCTCCTGTTTTTGGCCTAGCAGGCCTCAGGGAAGCCTTCTGGGAGCAAAAACGGATCCCCCTCACCCTCTATTTTTGGCCTAGCAGGGAAGCCTCCTAGGAACAAAAATGGATCCCCACACCCTCTATTTTTGGCCTAGCAGGCCTCAGGGAAGCCTCCTGGGAGCAGAAATGGATCCCTACGCCCGCCCCGCCCCGCCCCCATTTTTGGCCTAGCAGGCCTCAGGGAAGCGTCCTGGGAGCAAAAACAGACACCAAAATGCTTTAAAAAAGTTAAAAAAGTTCCTACCATCAGGCAGCACAGCTGATTGTCAGAACTTTTTTTTTTTAACTTGTTAAAGCATTTTTTTACTACAGGTTCATGGGAACTTGCCCAAACCGGTAGCATTTCAGCCCTGCTGTGAAAGTGATTTGGAGACTTCACCCTGTCAACAAAAGTGTGTATAGTCAAGGCTATGGTTTTCCCGTTTGCAATGGATGGCTGTGAAAGTTGGACCCTAAGGAAGGACCAAAGAATTGTGGCCTTTGAACTATGGTGCTGGAGAAGACTCCTGCGAGTCCTTGGACTGCAAGGCAATCAAACCAGTCAGTCCTTGTGGAGATCAACTCTAACTGCTCATTAGAAGATCCTGAAGATGAAACTCAAATACTTTGGCCACCTAATAAGAAGGAATGACTCACTGGAGAAGAGCCTAATTCCCAAAAAGATGGAGGGCAAAATAAGAAGGGGATGACAGAGAATGTGGTGGCTGGATGGAGTCACTGAAGCAGTCGGCGTGAGCTTAAATAGACATCAGAGGATGGTAGAAGACAGGAAGGCCTGGAGGAATGTTGTCCATGGGGTCATGATGAGTTGGACACGACTTGGCAATTAATAACAACAATAAATGAAGTCTGCTACTTCATACAATCTGAAGAGATAAAGTTTAAACAACAGGTGGCAAAAAAACCCCACATCGGTTCATATTTATTGTCAGAAAAATAATATAAATTTTCAGAACTGCGTGAAACAAAGTACAAGAGAGGAAAGTAGCAGAGATCTGATGTTAGTATATCTCTAGTGAACTACAATTCTTGAATTGGGGTGATAAAAAAGAACAATCAGATTCAGGGACTGCAAGGGGGAAAAAGGGTAGGAGGAAAATGTTCTATTGCCCAGGTATCATAAACCAGAAAAGTACAATGATGGTACAATATACAAATGTGAAACACTTGTGCAAATACTTTCCCCAACATCCAGCAATAAGAATATTTAAAA